AGTTCACTGCCACTGAAAATAATTATAAAATTATTAATTATAAAATTATATAAAATTTTAATTTACAACATACTCTAATATGATATCAAATAATTCCATCGCAAGGATGCCTAAACTAAAAATATCTGCTTTCGTGGTATACTTTGATTGATGCAATTCTGGGGCCATATATTTAGAAGTTCCCATATTTTTGGAGTGACTCTGAGATGCCGTCTGATGTTCGACAGCCAGACCAAAGTCACATAACTTAACAAATCTACCTTTTCTTACATTCTCAGCGATTAATATGTTTTCGGGTTTGAGGTCCCTGTGAATGATCGGTGGATTCAATTCATGCAAATACTGAACACTTTCTAAGATCTGACGGAATATTTCACACGAAATGAAATACTCGACACAATCCATGGATCCTCCTATTTGTCGAACAAATACTTGTGCTTTTATTTCCAGAATATTCCTTAAATTCTGTGAACAGAACTCCATCTGAATGTAGAGGTGTTTGCTCTCGAGCCATGAGTTATAATACTGAACACAATATTTTGAGCGAACTTTTCTCAAATTCTTCACTTCTTTCAGAATTTTATTCATATATTCCTCAGAAATATCTGAACAATATTTCAAAAAATATCATTTTTTTTGTAAAAATAGTTTTATATTTACCTTTAATTTCCACACTTTTAATGGCGTATATATGATCATCTAATCTATGTTTGACTTTAAATACTTTTCCAAAATGTCCGAAACCAATGGACGAAAACTCAACAAAAAGGTTCTGATAATTATTTCGAAGGTTTTCAAGTGTATATTGGTGAATTTGGTTCAACAGGGTAAATTTTAGTTTTTGTTCTTTTTTATCCCTGATCTTTTCTACGAGGTTGACCTCCCAGTCCCCTTTCAAGTTTTTTATTGTTGTGTCTTGATCGGCAATGATTTCATACAATTCGTATTCAAGCATTTTTTGTAGCGAATCGATCTTGATGAATTTTCCGGTCATTTGTTTGCGCACAGACTGACAGTACTTCCGATGCATATCGCGGTGAATGTCATTGATCAGGGTAAATAGTTTAGACACTTTGCGGGTATAATCCAGTTTAATATTGTTGTAAATGTCCATAATTTTTGCATTCCATGTGTCGGTACAATATTGTGTCAGATCATTTTGAAACGCGTTAAAATTGCATGAGTTATGCATACTGTATAGGCTTTTATCGGTTATTTTTGTATCAATGTCCTTTATCTCTGATAGCGAAAAGTATCGAGATTTTAATATCTGATTAAATATATGCTTGTATAAATTAATGGCTAATTCAATAGATTTATCAGCAGTTTGTTTTTCACGTTGGTAAATCTGATCAAGTATTTGTTTGTAATATTGCATAGTCTTATTATACATCCGTGTTAATTTTTTCGTTAAATACTCATTATCATTTATAATCTTAGGTAAAACTACATACGATTGCAATTGTACTAGTTTATCATAATTAAAATACTTTTCCACAGTTATTTTTCGACCGCAATTAGTTCGATACTTATCGTTGCACTCATATAAGAGCCTGTATTTATCGGTACATTCATTTATATCCTTGATCAATTCTTTGCGATAATTTTGTAGCTGAAACCCTTGCCATGAATATTTAGATTTCTCATTAAAACTTTTAATGATGTCGTTGTATACCCGGGTAAATATTGCGTTATAATTATTAGCCAGGCTATTATTATTAATATCAGCGTCAATCGCCTCATTCATACAACGATTAAAGTCTTTGACACATTCATCGATGATATTTTTGTATTTCTTTGAGTTTTTGGCCAAAACTTCCTTGATAATCGATTTACAATTTCTGTCCTCGGTGTCTATCATGTTGACCAGCCAGTTCCATGTATTACAAATTATTACAACTAGTGATGTATAGACTAAAGAAAGTAAATGAGTAATGAAAGCATTTTCAACGCTAGTTATTTTGTTTAATGATAAACAATCGTAAATATACGAGTAATACATTTTAACATATGAATGAAATCCTATAAATTTATTAATCATTGATTCATTAATATAAAATTAGTACACTATCAAGGTTATAAAGTATTTATTACTACTAACAATGCAAGATCGGGAAGTATTCTTGCTAATTGTAATTAAACCCGGCTGAATTATACTGGTATAGTATGGTATAATAATAATATCCAGGTCCCGTAATCTAGCGGAATGTCTTAGGTGTCCAAATCGGTGGTTATATCGGTCGACGCGCTATAAAAACTCTATACTTTTTGCTGTGAAATATTAGGTTTCGTCGAAAGTTTTGCGAGGTAAATTTTGCAGCTTAAAAATTAAATTCTCAACAACCAATATAGGTATTAAAAATATTTTTGAACCTCAACTATGGTTTTTGCTTTTATGTATTCTCCCCAAGAGACTACTTGATTAGACCACCGGTAGCTCGGCACAGGTAGCTTTTATGTACAACAAAAACTATCAGTCCTATAAAAACAATCGACACGTCGTTAGAAAGAGCATAAAAAATGATCGAACCCGTCTATCGGGATTTCTCTAGTAAATGCATCAATTTGGAACAGGGAGGCCCAGTATTTAAGAATATTGAATAAAATAAAGATAACAAAGAATAAGATTAAATTCAATTGGACCATCAAAATGTGCTTCAAAAGAAGATAAATTTAGCATTTTAAACCTTTAAGATATCTTGAGAAATAACTAATCTAGGGCAAATCAAAATCTTTATGTTTTACAGATTCATTAAAATTATCACAAATTTTCAAAGTTATCTAGCTCACGTATTTATGATATTTTTAAAATTTCAAATTCAAATGTTATTCATATTTTGAGTAGTTTTCGATCATAAAAAATGATCGAACCCATCTATCGGGATTTCTCTAGTAAATGCATCAATTTGGAACGGGGAGGCCCGGTATTTAAGATTATTGAATAAAATAAAGATAACAAAGAATAAGATTAAATCCGATTAGACCATCAAAATGTACTTCAAAAGTACATGTAGTATTTTAAACCTTTAAGATATCTTGAGAAATAACTAATCTAGGGCAAATCAAAATCCTTATGTTTTACAGATACATCAAAATTATCACAAATTTTCAAAGTTATCCAGCTCACGTATTTGTTGATATTTTTAAAATTTCAAATTCAAATGTTATTCATATTTTGAGTAGTTTTCGATGGCCTCATCAGATTTTCAATTTAAAATAATTTTTACAAAATCATGACCTACCCGGCCTCCCTGTCCCTAATTGAAGCATTTACACGAAAAATCCCGAAAGACGGGTTCAATCATTTTTTATATTTATCTAGCTCACGTATTTGTTGAGATATTTTTTAAATTTCAAATTCAGATGTTATTCATATTTTGAGTAGTTTTCGATGGCCTAATCAGATTTTCAATTTAAAATAATTTTTACAAAATCATGACCTACCGGGCCGCCCTGTCCCTTATTGATCAATTTACCAGGGAAATCCCGATAGATGGGTTCGATCATTTTTTATGCACTTTCCAACGATGTGTCGCTTGTCTTTCTAGGACTTATAGTTTGTGTTGTACATAAAAGCTACCTGTGCCGAGCTACCCGTGCTCTAATCAAGTAGTCTCTTTGGGAGAATACATAAAAGCAAAAACCATAGTTGAGGTTTAAAAATATGTTTGATACCTATATTGGTTATTGAGAATTAAGCTTCAAATTTTACCTCGCAAAACTTTTGACGAAACCTAATACATTCATTCCTAATATCGTAACTCTGACTCGTTTTTACAGCAAAAAGTATAGAGTTTTTATAGCGCGTCGACCGATATAACCACCGATTTGGACACCTAAGAAATTCCGCTAGATTACGGGACCTGGATATTATTATACCATACTATACCAGTATAATTCAGTCGGGTTTAATTACAATTAGCGAGAACAATTCCCGATCTTGCATTGTAAGTTTATAATAAAAGCAAATAACTAATGCTGTGAAACATAATAAGTTTATCAAGCTCATACATCCCTATTTTTAAGAGATTTAAATATTTAGAACTCAATGATGTTGACTAATTCGATGTAGTACTCATTAATATAAGTTACTGGCTGCTTTCCATTTAGTTCGGATTGATACTTAGTGAGCACACTATTTCGTATTTTAGTTGCGATTTTATCGTATTTTTGCGAATCAGTCTCACCGGAAGTTACTTCCTTGGACACATTACTTTTATACAGGTGAATCAAATCATTTACAAAGTTAGCCAGCTTACTTTTTTCGATTAAATTCACCACGGGTTTGATCGTTGATTGAATCGGTTTTTGTTGAGGTTTAATAGTTTGCTTATTTTGGTTGCTGTACTCGTTTTGTGTATAATAATCGCCAGTGTCTACTAATTTAACCTGGTCAGTTTCGCCCACGATAGTTTTGTCAAGCATTCTCAAACTTTCTACTAACTGTGCCTGTTCAGTTATTTGCTCATCACTAAAGTTGTAAATGTTTTCCACGAGATCAACGTAAGAGAAAATACCCTTATTTTTCTTTCCCAATACTTTAGCAGTAATCGACAAATTTAATTCATTTTTGTCATTTTGACTAATAGTCAAGAATATGTACAATTTTTTCCATGGTGAATCGTTAAATTGTTTTGGTAGACTATGAATCTGATAGCGTTTGACTACCAACTCGGGACCCTCGGTGATTTCCACCCGTATTGGAAACTTTATGAAGTGCTCGGGCAATTTAAAACTGGTGTACGGATCTAAGCGGACTGGTGCTGGTTCATTTGCATGCTGCAAATATTTATATGTGGCAGCCCACTTTTTGCCATCATTAAACTCGATGTGGCACATGATGTCTCTCAGTATTACCCCGGTGATAGGAAGTAATTTGTTGTACTTTTCGTAATAATTACTATAATATACTGCACCGCTGGTCACTGCGTTTGAAATGTCGTTTTTTACAGAATGTATGCAGTGCTTTTTAAGAACAACCTTAAAATTAAATTTGTTTATTATATCCGGGTCACCTGAAAATTAATATTATTTATAAGTTAATTAATATTTTTATAATAAATAGTCTAGTAACTTGAGATTAATTATAAAACGTTTATTAAATAATTATATTTAATTTAAAAGTTTACTTCAAATTAATATATACTGGATTAAAAAATTATGAATGTTGTAATTAATAACATAAAACACGAGAACAATTCTGATAAAATTTTAGGCATTATTACTTTCAATGGGTAATAAAATTTATCATTTACCTGTTATTAGGCAATCATTGACTTTATTATGCGCAGGCATTTTCGACAATTTTGTATAATTGATCTTTTCAAATAACTTTGTTAGCCAATCTGAAAAATTGTTTTTGATCACCAAAGCATTTCCATGAGTGACCCCACTATAATAAGCCAGGTATTTGATACTTTGATTGTAGTATTCAATGAGCGCTAACTCGCACTCATTACTGCTGAACATAATGACGAGTACTTCACGAAAGTTTGTATTTCTATTGTAATACTTATCGTTAGTATTAAACCCGAAATCAATGGCCGCCGCACTCATCTGGGACAATATATGAGCATGATCAATTCCCGCTATATTAGCCGCGTCCTTTACGGCCTGTATCTGTCGTATGGTATAACTCGTGGGAACAATGAATAACACGTTTTGCATATAGTTTTCAAACTGAGTCTCGGCTCTGGATTTCATTTCCAATACTTGTAACGCGAATAACGACTCGACGTTTAAGTCAACACTCGCTTTAGTCGTGTCCGTGAATACGAGCCTTACTTTCAAGGGATTTGTATCGACTATATTCAGTCCATATTTATTAAGCTCTTCATTGATGGCTACATCCCTTCCCATAATATCATTGATTTTAAATACCGTTCCGTATAAGAATAACTGGGCGTTGCAGCCATGGAGTACGCGAATGCCGTCAAACGCTAAACAGTTTATGGCGCTATTACCTTGGTGATCCAGAACATTTTCTATATGACCAAGTTGTTTGTTAAAATATGCGCCAATAGGGTTGTCATTGAATTGCGCGACAAGTGAATAGGATTTGTCTTTTTGTCGTTCATTGAGTGCTTTGTATTTGTCTTTCGGATGATTCATATTAATTGTAATATTATTGGGATTCTTGTCAACCATTTCCCACAAATATATCTTATTAAATAGATTTTTGTTATCAAATATCAACTGTTCCTGGTGAGGCCATAAGTGATCCAGTAATTCACTATGAACTTGTTCAAATTGGTTATCCGTTATCGGCCCACCACCGATAGAATGACTATTTCATCGCATTGTTTCTCATAAATCTTTGTTAATATGTTGTTAATGAGAGTTTTGTTCAGGTTAAAATTATCGTCCCACAACACCACAATGTAATATTTTGTAATTATTTTCAAAGCATTTATCGTTTTAGAAATTATCTGTATAAATAAACTGTAAACTATTTATTATATTTAATGAATTTTATAACTTTAATGAACCAGTTACTATCAATTAATAAAACTAAATACAGCACATAATTAATTAGTTACTAAAATTAATTTATTATATAAAATTAAAATTATCATGCTGCATAATTTGTAAAAAACCTGAGCGTTTATAATTTTAAAATTTCACAAAATCAACTTAATACAAAAAGTAATAAAACTGTTATTATAAATATAAAAGTTGTAAATATTATAATTATTATGAAATTTTATAATTTAATAAAATACAAGTTCAAGCTGGCATAATTATTTACATGATACATTTCACAAAACTTGTAATACTAACACATAATTATTAAAAATGGTTGTAAAATACACTTATATAAACTATTAATATAATGTTATTTTGTATACTGCACAGTGTACACGACATCTATGATTACAGGATTACATATAATGTCATTTCATTTACGGTATCTATTTCTGGTACCCATAGTTACACATTACGTAAAAGCCTAGACATATAGTTTTATTAATAGTCCGTTACATTTAAGGTACATTTATTAATTCGTGTTAGTAACATAAATATTAAATTTGATAGTGAGCAAGGGTTTAAATCATCGATTAGGGAGACCTCTGTGAAGGAGATTAATAAAGTATTCCGGCACAAACACGGGCATATAATAGTTTTGTTATTAATATTTTAAAAATTCAATTCAATATAACTTTTATTTTTTAAAACTCCATATAATATGTGAAAATTATTAATATGAAAAATATTTGATAATGTTCACTGACTATTATTTATGAAATGCAATAATTTATATAAAACCAAGTTATTCAAAAAGATATGTTCAACATTATATCTACACTACTGTATAGTACTATTAAAAGTATTATTCAAGAAGAGTTGAAAACCTCTATGTATTTCTACAAAAATAACCTTTATGTATTTGTTATGTAAATCTTATTAATGCGGATATAATCTTAGGAATTAATATTTGATCATAAAATATGAGGCATTAAAGCAAAACACGATTTGAAACTTGCTTTTATATAACTCAAATAGTGTTAAACAGTACTCATTATTCGTATGAAAGCAGGTTTCAAAACGGATTTTACTTTAATACCTCTCAAATAGACATTATTTTAAAATTTTATAAAAAACAAAATATTCTGTAATAGTCACTGAAACCCTATTCTTAATGCCGACGTTTAAGCAGCTCATCCATACTGAGTCTCCCCTTATATTCCGTGACCTCAATCTCGTGGGCCGTACCTATGGACAGCACCTCAGCCCTCACTTTCAAAATACCCTCGTCATTCACGCAAAACATAACGGATATGTTTTGCCTGCCGGCCTCCTCGGGCGGTATGTTTGTGACCGTAAACCTGCCCAACAGGTCGTTACGGGTGGCGACGGCATCCTCGCCCTCATACACCTCCACATCGATGTCCGTCTCATAGTCTCAAACAGTTCCGTATATTTTGGTGAACGGTGTGCACACCCGGGACTGCGCCCGGATTACGGGCGACAACACGTCACCGGTAGTCCTAACGCCAAGGGTGTGAGGTGTGACGTCCAGCACCCGTAGAGTCCGGTCCTTTTGCGCCTGATTTCCGTTTAGTATAGCCGCCTGGGAAGCGAAATATAATATATTTGTGATTACATTGATAACAAAAAAATTTTAGCAAATGTGAACCCAATTATCAAAGGGCATACTTAAACATAGCTTTCATACGACTTTACCGTATTGTTTGGTATAAATACCGTCGTAGTTGTAAATGGTAGTTGTAGTGGTAGTGGTATGAAAGCAGAGCTAAAGTATGCCTTTTGATTACTAGGACCACAAATATAATCATCATGCTACATAATTATATTTTGATTAATAATTTTAAATTATCTACATGACCTTTCTCAACCTTATTCATGTCATGTAAATGAAAATTGACTACATCAAAATGCTTTAATAAAATCACCTGAATTGCTGCCCCTTTAGCTACAGCCTGTAATGGATCCACTTTCTCGGTGTCTAATCTTGTAGATAGTTTACTACCAAAACGGTCCTCGATCAAATTTTTAACAAAGGGTATATGCGTGGACCCGCCCACCAACACGACATCGTCCACATCATCGACGGACATACCGGCGTCGATGAGCACCCGATCCACGCACTGCATCGTCCTAATGAACAGGCGTCAAAAATTAAAAGATAAAATGAACATTTCTACATTTTATTCATACAACTATTTATTTAAAATATTATTTGCTGATAATTAACTCCAATAAACTACCCTGCGTCATTTATGTGTAATTAAAAGTATTTTGCATGAATAAAATGTAGAAATATTCATTTTATCTTAAATTTTGAATTTAATCGATGAATATATCTTTTGAACAAAAATTGTGAAAAAGAGATTAACGATAAAAATGATTCACAAAAAATGAATCAAAATTTCAAACACTTTTTATTCACTCATTAAATGTATTATTTGTGATCAAATTGTAAGCTTTCGGTACGTTTTTTGCGGCAATAATGGACACCAAATAACGGGATTAAGCTTACAAAGTTTAGCTGTATGTTATCAGGGACATATTCCCTACAACATACCTAATAACCCCATAAGTCTAGTGAGCGGGGCTGGGAAATAGAGCCCTCGTAAGTGGAAAGGTATGTAGCTTATTAATGCCATTGTTAATTTATTATTAATTAAATAATACTATATTTATAATGATCAGGCAAAGTTACTGGACAATGGCGTAGACAAATAGTAGCCGTGAGTTTCCAGATCAAGGACTACCAGCCCTCCCAACCCCCAAGTGGTGACCACTTTCAGCAGCTGCTACTTAACAACGCATTCGGAGGGATGCGTATAAATAGTACCTCCAATGGACAGGCAGTTGGTGGTACACCCGACCCCACACAACCTACTAGTTTTACGTCAAGTTTAGGTCTTTTCTATTTTAGGTCTTTTCGGTGAGTCCCTTTCCTAAGAACTATAACCTAAAAATAATCAAACTATAAATCTGACAAATTTTGCGTTTGTTTTGAAGTTTGAACATTTGTATTCTCCAGATACCCTAGTCACACGTTCTGATCTGTAACTTGGCCATTTTCCGGTTATAGTTCAGGGTCAGGGTATGAAAGGGACCCACCGAAAAGACCTAAAATAGAAAAGACCTAAGTGTGAACAGGGTATCTGGAGAATATAAATGTTCAAGCTTCAAAAAACCCGCAAAATAATCCAAGCCAAGGTATTCGTTGAGAGTGAACCAAATACAGCTTGCGCAACTGATTTGGTAACAGAATTTCAGCCCAATATATTGTGTTCGTTGTATAAACAGGTGAAACTGCTATACAACGGCAAAGGTTTAAAAGTCCAACACTTTTTAAGGTTCAATAACTTCAATTTGAATATTTTCAAATATATCCTTTTATTGTTTTCTAAAATTGTGTTTAATTTACAATAAATTTTTGTACTTTTAAAAATCTGACATTTCACAATTTTAATAAAATATTCAAATATTTAATAACTTTTCTATTTCATCAAGTGGACGACGGCATTTTGAAAAAGCAACTTCCATGCTATGGGTTACACTTGTTGAATTCACAGTGGAACTTACGCTGAGCATACCCTCATCATTGATAGTCAAAGTCACTAATACAGTTTGAGTCCCTGCTGAATCTGGCGGTATGTTTGAAATGGTAAATCCACAAAGCTTTGTATTTCTCGATGCGACATAATCTTCCCCCTCATAAACAATTACATTCAACTCAGATTGCATGTCCGATACGGTTTTAAATAATTTTGAATTTGAGCATGGTATTTTAGTTTGAGCACGTATTATAATACACATTTTGTCATCTTTTTCTGCAACACCTAATGAACATGGCATTGCATCCGATACTTGTAATGCATTTATTTTTTGAGCATGGATGCCATTTAATATTGCAGCCTAAAGTAAAAAATTAAAAACAATAATGTTTATAACATAAAATCTCGTTGAATCTATAAAATCTAATTTAGGGAAGTTTAATAGATAAGTACTGAAATCGGTAATCAGGAATATCATACAGAGACGGTCAAATCTATGTAAGACTGGAATAAATTGAATACCTTTTGACTGGATTAACTAATCTCAAAATTATTTTCAGGATTTTGTAGCTGGATAATGTCAAAAATATAGCGATATAAATTTGCCATAAAAATTCATTAGAATAAATTAGTAAATTCACTTCAAAGTTTTCCCAATATTTCTCATTGAAATTACATGGGATTTTCCTTCATTTTTGATAATTTTCCCTAAACAAACTTAATTTTAAAATAACGATATATTGGTTATTTTTATAGCGATTTCTTAAATTTCAACAACAAAAAAAATCATTTAGGATAGGTTTAAAAAACTAATTTGTATTACATTGGTGCAAAAGTTCTCGCCGCTTATAACATTGCGTTCTATGGCAATTTCGGCGAGAACTTTTGCACCAATGTAATAAAATAATTTTGCATATTCATTAATTTATAAAAGTAATCTTGCCTAACTTAATTTTTAAGTTGAAATCCTTTGTAAATAAAATACTCCTTATATTTCTGGATTTTTTATATGATCTAATTTACAAGTAAAATACTAACGACTTTTCTAGTGGTATTATAAATAATTCGTCATTTAAGATCCGGGAAAATAATTATTAAATAGTGCTTACAAAGTAATTAGCTCAAATAAAATTTGAGATAAAAACCTTAATATTAGACAGCATGTTCATCATGTAAATGTAGACAAATCAACTTATATTTGTGTGAATTATCAAAAAATTATTTTAACTAATAATGATTTTATACATATAAAATACTTATTGATTCAATCTTATGATATTATTAGATATATAAAAATTAATTAATTTAAAAATATAAAGTGAATAAACTTTTTATGTCTAAAATTATTTGCATTGAACATTCATATTAGCTTATATGACTATACACTGGATGAATATGCTGGCTAATATTAATGTTTTGTTCCAAAATTATATTTTAGAAAAATAAATTTACTTTCTAAACACTATTTAATAATTATTTTGCCGGATCTTAGTCATATTAAAAAAATTTGATAAAAATTAATGAAAGTAAGTTATTTATTACTGTCAAAAAGAGATCTATATTCTAATTCTATTTTATTTATTATAATATGAAAACCCCAATTAATTAACCCCAAGATTATTTCAGCACATTAATTCAAACAAACAGTGGTGTATTTGGTTTAATATTACTTATATTGATTTTTAAAAATAAATTAACATTTAATATTTAAATAAATTATATTTAGTTATTTATATTCTCTTTTACTAATCTGAATAAATATTAGAAGGGTCCATTAAGCTCGAGACTCTTTAAATTTCAAACATACCTGAATAGCAGCTCCTTCAACCACAGAGTGACCCGGGTTATCTGACTTTCTTTTAATGCCTAAATTCTCACAAATCAAACGTTCAATCAATGTGTAACCACACTCAAGTAAAACGTCATCGATATCGGATAAAGCCGTCCCCATTTTGGTTAACGTCTGGTTAACATAATTAATGATCGCGGCAAAAAAATCTTTGGTAATTTCGTTTAAATTTTCCCAAGTCATCTCCACGTGTAAATGTTGACAAGGTAAAATGTTATCCACTGTAATCTCTGCCGAACCCTTAGTACCCAATAACCATTTCAGAGTTTCCAACTTATGCCTTAGTAACAGTATAGCTTGGCCGCCCTCATCGGCATAAATACCAGCCCGCATCAGCAAATAGGCGATTATTTTATCATCGATGTGGAATTTTCCAAATTGAATATCATCGCCTGTCGCCAGTACTTGCACTTCACCACGGTCAAGTTTTAGGATAGTCACATTAAACGTTGTATCGCTCAAATTATAAATTAAAATTGTCCTAAATATTAATAATTATATTGAAATAATTTTACATATTTAAATTAAATTGTTTATAAATATTTATAATTTTACCATGTGCTCGTATAAGTGAACATGGCGGATAACAAGTTAATCGATTCATACGCTTTTAATATAATATAATAAAAGTTATTATCCTAATAAACTTTTGTTTTCATTTAAATTTTGTCTATATTGCTTAATTGTTTAACTAAAGATGATTTTTTTTATAAAATTTCTTTGGATCAATTTTTAAAATTAATTAATGTCATCATTCCTTCAATGGCCCAACATCAAATTGTTTATGGACCGTGCCTTCCATTTATTCCTAGCTTTCCCTTCTTTTTTAATTACTTAAATTTTTTGAATATATTGCTAGATAGGGGATGGTAGGAAAGGAAAAGATTTGAAAGGAGTTGGCTTGATAGGGGAGGGCTAGAAAGGAGACCAATAGGTTTAACACATTGTTTAGTGAGATATTCAGCACTTTTAAACTATTTTAGAATTTTTAAAAAATTTTGAAAATTTTAAAACCATTCTTGTGGAACTGTATATCAATGGTGGGGATGGGGGTGGTACAAATTAAAATTATAACCCACTTTTTTACTACGTAAATGTGGGTAAAAATGTAACCTTTTAAACCCTAATATAAGTTATAATATGAACCTTAAGTATCCATAAGGGCAATGGCCCAATGCAAATGAATTACAATGAAATATTTGTAACAATTCCATCACCATTTATACTGTATATTATAGGCTAGACTCCAAATGGATACCTAATGTTCTTATTTAAAAAGATATTGATTATGTTTATATTGTTCGTTCATACTTGAAGTTTAAATCCGTAAATCTATAAAGTTGATATGCATGCGCAACTGCAATGTTTTCATCAATGACATCAAGCACCTTTAACCCAGCAAGTATCCCTGCATCTTTCGTAGCCTCCCTTTGATTAAAATCGAAATGTGTCGGCACAGTGAGAACACAATTTTTAACACGAAAACCAATGTGTTTTTCGGCAATGTCTTTTAACATTTTCACCACGTGAGAAAAAATATCTTCTATATAGTAGCACTCACTTTCCCCATTAAACTCGATCTCTATGCCCAAAATATCTTTCCCCATATCTACCACATTGAAGGGCAATTGATTCTTATCCCAAGATAAATCGCCCCAATTATCAGTATATTTTCGTCCGATTAAACTATGAAATGAATCAATTATGCTTCGCTGTTTATATCGTTGATTAAACTTGGCCTTTTCACCAACAATAATATCGCCATTATCACAAAATTCCACTACTGATGGTGTAGTGTATTTATCCTGATTCTTTAATACTATAACCTTTCCTATTGGGTGACCCTGTTGATAATACGCCACACAACAAATCTTCGCACCTAATAAACAATATTTAAATAAATAATAATTATAATAAGTTTAACTTAAGTTATTTTAATTAATATTTTTAATAAAAATTTTAAAAACTTATTTTGTTTGCTAATTTAAATTATTTATTCTAGTTAATTAAATAATTAACAATATGTTTCTAAATTTAATTTTTAAATTAATAATTTAATTGGTTATTAATTATATTAATTAATAAAAAGCTAGAGGTCTATGTTATACCCCAGAATTAGGTATACAATACATACTAATGACATTCAATTTAAAGCAATTGATTATCAATGTCCCCAATGGTGTAATGGTTAGCATGCGTGCGCGTAATGCACGAGATGTAGGGTTCGAGACCGACTTGGAAACACATTTTTACTCATTGTTTTGCATCATTGAAATGCAACCTATATTTAAGTCCAGCATTGAAAGCATCATTCACAAGTCTATTGAGGGTGGGTGGGAAATAACCTTGCTAAGTAACATACCTACATACATAGGTAATATTAACTGACGTAACCTTAAATATGATATAAAATTATATACATCGTTAAATTTAATGTTTCGCATTTATTACCGGCTTTTAATAATGTTACTTAGCCAAATTACTTCCCACCCATCCACCTTAGACTTGTGAATGATGCTTTCTATGCTGGACATAATTATAGGTTGCATTTCAATGCTTTACATTAACTTCTCTACTTAAATAGGGTTATCAATAAATACATTGCAATTATGTTATTTGTTTAATTATTATGGTTTATACTAAATTATCTTACCTAAATAAATACCAATTGCAGGTAACGTAGGTGTGTTTTTATTATTTTCATATTGTACACATTTAAATGCCATATTTAAATTTTCGATTGCGAGATTTAAAAAGTTTTTAAAATTCAAATGACCGCGATCAATTGCAAATTTCTTAATAATTTTTTTACAAATTTGTATGTGTAATTTCTTTAAACGATTTGGATTAACAAAACCGCTAATATTCTTTTTAATATCATCTTGATAATATTTAATTAAATTTTCAATTAAATTTTGGGTAGCTAATTCTTTTCGAACGTCAACTGTTATATAAAAAGTGTATTTTAAAATAGATAACCGACAAGCATTAATTAATTTCTTAATGAAAGAATTTTTTAAAAGATTTAATATATAGTGTAAAAACGGTCCAGATAAAATTTATAGGAAATTAATATTTTGTATGTAAACTTTAAGAGTGAGAAACATCTAAAGACATTTCTCGCTATAATTTTTGGTTATATCCTTATTAACATTACATTAGAAAGGGACTCACTGAAAAGGCCTAAATCCGAAAAGGCCTAAAACAGAAAAGGCCTAAATTCGAATAACTAACTTACCAATGAATTTTTGACTGAATTTAGATTAGGTTAGGATAGGCTAGGTTAGGTCAAGACATCTTTTCCACTCATCAAATTATAAATATGTCCACCAGTCAGTTAGTTATATGAGTATAGGCCTTTTCGGGTTTAGGCCTTTTCAGGTTTAGGCCTTTTAGGGTAGAACCCATTAGAAAATGATAACTAATAATAGAATTGGTTATTTAATTATCTATTTGATAGCAAAATTAGATTATTTGAAACATTTTATATCATTTTTAGCTCAAAAAATCATATAGAATTTATTTTTAAAATTATATTTCTAAATGAATACATTAGACTGCTTTCAATCCAAGTTAATATCCCTGTCGTCTGCTGAATTTCATAGTCCAACTCTAACCCACAGCTGACACACAGTTATAACCACTTACATATTACAAAAATGTTAAATATTTATTAAACGTTTTATGTTAAACAAATATTTAACATTTTTGTAATATGCAAGTGTTTATAATTGTATGTCAGCTGTGGGTTAGAGTTGGACTATGAAATTCAGCAGACGAGATGGATATTAACTTTGATTGAAAGCAGTCTAATGTAATAATTTATTAACAGTTATCGTAAATTCTTTACCAAAGGAGATATCGAGGTTTTAAAAAAATTTCGTTATTTATTGATTAAAATATATTTAAATGATTACCCTTTCAATTTTAAATCAAATAACGTTCATAAGTTTTATATCTATAAACATATTACGTTGATATAATTGAATTTTTTAAAATTATACTTTTGTCTTCATTCAACTTAGGAACGAAAAATAAAACTTATTAAAAAAATTCATAAATTACGGCTTCATATATCTCCGTTATTAATAGACTTTGGAATCAGAATTCAAAGAATAATCTTAAAAATAATTTTATCCATAAATAACGTGTTTGAAAATTTTAAGTATGATAATTTTGGCTTGTCTTAATTTTTAGGGTATCGCCTTTGGAAGGCGGAAGGTTCCTCTTTGGTAATTTACTTAATAAATCATATGCTTCTTAAATCATAAAAGTTATCTTCAGCCATTCAAGGGCAATACGTTGACATTTTAAAAATTCAAGATTTTTTCTAGAGAAAATTCTATCAATTTAAAATAATTATAAAATTTAAAGTATATAATTTATAAGCTTTTCAAGAGTTATATAATTGTGAAGAAAAAATTCAAAGTCGTTTTATAGTAATTAATGCATATACCATACATTGTTTATATTAACTTAAATTATTCTACAACATTACTTATAATATTAAAATTATTTTCATATTTATCTTTCTTTCAATGTCCTACATCAATCTAAGAACACGCGAATAAGATAAAATTTATTGTTGCATTGTCTTGACACCTCCTTTAAAGATATGAACTATCCTTTCGTTTTATTTATCCCATTTCATTTATGACCATTCAGATTTAATCTAGATTTTTATTCAATATATTGAGTTCAATATTTTAAAATAATAGCTAAAATGATTTTGGATTTATTTAACACCTGGGGTTTAGATACAAAAAAATATACATTCCATAATTAGTACCTTGACTATTTATCTACACTTTAAATACTTTTTAATCTTAATAATTTATCTTTCATAGAGAAATTATGTCATGTTTGTCGGCTATCTATTTTAAAATACACTGAATATTTATACACCCATCAAATATGTTTGAATAAAATTCATCATCCTCATGAGCATTATGATTTGTGTATCCTTGATCGTGGTCAATTTCAAATAGTGAGATTATATCGGTGTCTTTATTGTCAATTGAATAAAGTTTTGCACCAAAAAATTTAAACAAACACTTATTACTGTCCATAATGACTTGATCAATTGGGGCCAACTGTAAATAATCATTGAAATCATATTTATTAACACTAATATTTTTCATGCGAAATTTTATCTCTGTAGCCGTTGGTCGTTAATCGAAAATATAATTGAGCATTTCAGAAGTTAAGGATTTAATTATTGATAATCCTTTTAAATTTTCAGTAAAATTGCTATATCTAAAATATAATGAACACAAAAGAACATGAATGAATTAATATGTATAAGTAAAATTTTGTATAGCTATATTAATATAAGTGGCAAAACAATTAGCTATAACATTGATAACATTCAAAATGTTAAGCTATAATTTTTAATTGCTCCCTTCTAATTAAAAAAGTGTTAAATTCTATATTTCTATGTTTCATTTTGAGGGTCGTTATTTAGCAAGGTGGTTATAGATTAAATGAAAGCTTATAGTTTCGGCTTTAATGTTTATATTTTAGATTTTACCCTGCTACTATAATGTGACCGGAGACTATGACATTCGCGTTTTTTCAAAATTTTTATTGAAATACTTGTCACCAGGGTGGTTAGTATGTCAAAAGAACACAATTAAATGAAAGTTTAAAATCCTTTCACAAAATTGATTTCTCAAGAAACAGAAATGCGAGCAAAAACCCCCTGGGCTTTTTTGATTAATCTTATACAATACAGGGGTGACAGTAGCAGTAGCAGTGCTACTTTGATTCTAATTTATTTAAACACTCGCATTATTTTTAATTCATTTTTAAAAAAATTTTAGACTTAGGATTAACAGAATAAATTATTTAGAGATCCTTTCAAAATTAAATTGCTCATATTATGTCCTTTATTTAAAAGTATTTAAAACAGATACTAAAGTTCCTGGTTTTAATCCTAACACGTGTCTGGTCCAGTTTCGATGAATTGTACTGCATCGGGCTAGTTATTTCTTATAACAAAATAAAATCATAACATAAAACTGAAGTAGTAATATTATAGTTAAAACAAAATTATAAGAATTAATAGAATTATTAGAAAGCTTGATTGGGATTTAACAGCTCATATTGCCCATATAAGTTATTAATGAACAAACACATTAAAATAAAAGTAATAAAATTTAAATTACTAATGCAGATATGTTTATTTAGTTCAGATTGACCTTTTTCTATCATATTTATAAATTTACTTTAGTTTTTTTGTGCATGCACAAATACATCAATTTCTGGATCAGACATCGGATCTCAAAACAAACTCACGTATCTTTTAAGTTTAGTATTTCGCTTAATAATATTAAAAATTATGATTAATATTTTATCAATATATCATTTTGAATATATTGTATTATATATGCGATTTAGAATGTATAACTCACCTTTCAAGGCCAAATAATTCCAAATAAATTTGACCCAAACTATAAATATCCGATTTCGTAGTAAATCTTCCAGTTACTGCCTCGGGGGACATGTATTTAAATGTCCCTGCACCTTTTGTTCGTGTTATGTTCTCATTCTCATCATATATAAATGCTAGTCCGAAATCACAAATCTTACAAAAATTACTAATAGCGTTTTCATTAAATAAAATGTTTAATGGCTTTAAATCGCGATGAACAATCGGCGTAGGTAAAGTGTGCAAATACTCAATGCCCAATAACAACTCATTGCAAATTTCATTTGAAATATAAAAATCAAAAAATTTTAAAAACATACTGCTGACAAGGGTATTTTGTAAAATGTCACTTTTAAGTTGAAAAATCTTTTTTAAATCATGCGTACAATAGTCCATGCGTATGTACGTAAATGTATTATCAGTGAAGCTATCGTAATATTTTACTACATAGTCATTGTCTAATGATGATAAAATTCTCAATTCGCTTTCACGTACATCTATTTAAAATGGCAGATTGTGTTTTAGGTATAATATAAATAAATTTCACACTTATCAACAAATTTATATTAGCTCTTACTTTTATTTAAAATCTTTTTAATTGCGAATATATTGCCAAAATTATTGGAAACTTTATAAACTTCACCGTATGCACCTTTACCAATTGGTTCAATTACATTATATTTAACTTGAAAATTTAATTGATCATTACTACCATTATTACTTGAACTTGATTCTTGTTCATTCATTGTTGAATATAATTTTTATAATTTATATTTCATAAGTTAGTAAAGATTTAAAAATATTTTATTATAAATTCAATACGTTACAACACTACAACCGACACAAAATACTTATATCCTTTAATCTGTGTTAATAAAATTCTTTCGTTTAATGTTAATATTCTCATAGAAACCAGAGATAATGATAAAAACTATGAAGCGTATTAGATTTCTTATTTATTGTTTCATATTAGAGTGTAACAGTAAATTGACGACTAATATTATATCGTTAAATTTTATTATAAATATATGATACATTTACCCAATATGTCTATAATACAGCCTATGAAAAGTATTTTCTTAATTATTAATATTTAATTTTTTA